AAATAAAATAAAATAAAATAAAATAAAAATAAAAATCAGCTCGGATCCAAATACAATTCAAATGACTAACCATGTCAGCCCGCTGCCAACTCTGTGGCAAATCGGGAGAAAGCGCAATAATTCCACATGCTGAGATGTGAGCAACTGGAAAGAAACCAACTCTGGAGAAGTCACAATGCAAAGTATTACAGTGCTCCCACCCCCCCCAGCCCTGCTGCCACCCCTCCATGGGTCCCCCCCCCCTTGTATCCTCCCCCCTTACCCTGGGAAATCAAATTAATTAATTAATGAATAAGCCACTCATTTGACAAAAAGGGCAGGGAGAAGGAAGAATGTATATATAAAACAACACAAGAGCAACAAGCAGAGCTGTTTAAAAACTTTGGGAACGTTTTATCCGCTGGTGATTTGGGACAGCGAGTGCATGCACACACATCCCATACAAAAAAGAAAAAAAATATGCATATATATCTATACATATATATATATAAAAATCAGACAAGTTGCTAAGGAGACTTGTGTAAACTCGGAATACAGGCACAGTTCTGGCCTTTCCCCCTGTATTCCATCTCGTATTCCGATCACGCACCACTGCGGCACGATTGCACCAATGCACTGCATTAATCTTGGCCTTAAACGGGCTGACTGGCAAAGCAAACTGTGTGTATATATCATCTTTCAAACTTAACAAGTTAAAGGGAGAGAGGGTGGTGGTGGTGGGTGGGGAGGGCTGGGGGGGGCGGGAACCTTCGTTCTGAATATAAAATATAGGAGCTGAGCTTAGTAAGGGAATTTTAAAGAGGAAGCGCTGTGCGGATGCATGCAGACAGCCACGCTCCCTCCCTGCCCTCTCTTCCCACCTCTCCCCTCCCAGCCCCATCCATGGCACATGTCTGACACCCCCAGCCATGCCAACCTCCCCCCCCCACCTCATTCTCCCACCACAGTGGGGTTAGTCATACATATTAAACAACTTTTATTTACTTCTTTTCTTTCTCCCCCCCTCCCCCCCTTGTGTGTGCCCCTAAACCATTTTTTCACCTTCTACTTTTAGGAAGAAGGATATTAAATCAAGCCTGAAGCACTTGTGGAAGGTGACACAATTCATTCCTCAGTGACTGACAAGGCATCATTCGGCCAGGACAAAATTACATTTGTGTTGGTTTTCTTCCCTCTTCTTTGTTATTTGGGTGCAGGAAATCCATCACTCTCCTTAAACCCTCCTTCCACTTCTCCATCTCCAACCCTCTCCCACTGACAGTCAGCCAGCACCCGCCTTTCACTGCTTTGTGCACCACATTTCACGAGATGAGCACTTCCCATGGGGAATCCAAATCTACAGTCTGCAAATTCAGCAGTGCAACGCACCAGAAAAGCCAATGCTGCGGGCGGTGCCCTGGAGCAAACCCCAGCACACTGCCCTGCTTTCAGGTCCAGCTGAAGGTTTTTTTCATGCTCCAGAATGGGAACCTAACGAGCATCGCTTCCCTTAATACCTGCAAAAACATGAGAGGTGAGTCCATTAGCCCAGCTCCAGGAGGACTGCCATGCAGCATATGGGGCAAGATGCTCACTCCCTGCCTCAGTGCTTGCTGTTCACACGAGGGACCTGAGCCCTGTGCTGTGGCAGGGCTGAGGGTGCTGAGCAGCCGCACATCCCGCTGGCTTTGTCTCGGCTGCGATAT